AAAAATTGTTTTAAATGGAGCAATATGTCAGATTCTATTTTTTAACATAATATTTATATTATATGATAAATATCATACACTTTAAACATCATAAAATATAAAAATTAAATAAAAAAATATTTTTATAAAATATTAAATTCTAATGATGAATAATGAATATATATATAACTGTTTGCGTAATTTTTTCTTACCAAGTTCATATTTTTAGGGCCCGTGTTGCATGATGCACGACTTAATAGATTCCTTTTTATTTATTTTAAAATAATTTTATTTTAATTTAATTCTATTTTTGTGTCTTAATACTCCTTCACAACTAGTTGAGATTCTGTGCTTTAGATTTTGGGCTTCGATACTGGCTAATAATCAAATAGATTATTGTTAACTATACAGTTTATTGATATTAATTGTTTACATTTTTAATAATTGACAATTTTATATTTTTTGTAAATTAATTGATGATTAAATTTGAAAAAATAAAATAAATTTATGCATTTCATTTGAAATGCATAGTCGTTGATGTTTTTGATATTGAATATATTTTTAAGTTTCGTGATCAGATTCATGAGTCATGAAATTATTAGAAACAAGTTCAATTTAAGCTGTAAAGAAAATATATCAGTTTTTATTAAGTAGAGTTATTGTTCATTTATGTGTGTAATATTTTTATGTGACTACTTTATTATTCAATCAATTGATTTAATATTATTTAACATTAATATTAGACTTAATTTCAAGTTTTCAATTTTTTATTTAAACGTATATTTCAAATAAATAAATATTATCTAGTAAAAATTGTATTTATTAAATTCCATAGTATAAGTGAAAATAAATAAATAATTATAAAACTATGCTGTGCAATACATGTAACTGAGATAAATCACTGATTATGCAGTTATAAAGTATTATTTGATAGTAATACTGCAAATTACGTTAGTTTAGAATGGTTTAAAACGATTTAGAATAAATGTCGTTTGTCAGTTTGCCTATTAGTGATCAACGTGATTGTGTTGTGTCTGAAATAATAAAGGTATTTTCCTACATCATGCATTTGTATATGATAAACGTTTAATTGCGTAAGTTTAAAACAACTTTGTCATGTAAAACATGATCTCATGATCTCAACTAATTTTCACAAACAAATAAAATGCATTTTACATAATTTTGTTCATGAATAATGTCATTTCTAAAGTTTGTTGCATAAAAATACTATACACTTTAAATTCAGTCTATGGTCTGTGATATTAACTAAAGAGTTCTGAAAATTAATCTCTTGGGCTTACACAGTTCAGAAATGCAATATGCAAAATATAATAATACAATAATTATAATCTATAAAATAAAATAACATACAAAGAACAATATTTATATAATTTTGCAGTTATGTTTCGTTAAATAATTTTGTCTATGCGGAATTGTCTCTTTTAAACAGATACATACTTTGAACCAAAAACCCATGTTCATATTGATACAACTCCTTTGTGCATTTAATATATCAGCATAATCGCAAGTACAATAAGAAAAAGTAAAAACAAATAATTGAATAATTATCGTATTTAAAAATCAATTAGAATAAGTGTAATTTTTTTGATCGTCGGTTTTTCGACAATTTCTTATGTTTTTTGGTCATATTTCCTGTCGATTAAAAACAATAAAAATTATTGAAAGGATCAAAAAGTAACTTCTTAAAATTACATTAAGGTCTACTAAATAAATTCAAATTTATTGTATCGCACGCATTTTTTTGTAACATATATTACTCAAAAACTATTAATGAACGAAGTTAGAAAAATAATAATGAAAAAAAGTACTTTATTTAAAACTGTATACATTTACGCTCCATTCAGAACATTGAACTACGAATGTATTCTTATTTACTTCCTGAAGTAATAATTATAAACAAGCTTGCCAATGTTATATTTGTTAATTAGTTACAATTTTCTCATTTAGATTCAATCTAATAAATAACCAATAATTGTATTCTCATCAATAACATTTCATGTTAATTTTCTAGTACAAAATAAATTTTTAAATGCTATTTAGATAGCACAGATTAAAGCATAATATTAAGCTATCAATTCTAAGCTTTCGAAGTAAATCTCAAGCCTAAATCAAGGACTTAGAAGTTAAGTGGTTTTTACCATTTAACTCTATCAAAACGCTCACTATTTCAAGTATTGTTCTATATGAGAAACTGTATATAATTTAATTTTATGGTAAGGATATTTTTGACATGATAATTAATAATTTTGTATTTTATAACTGACTAGAAAATTTTCAAATTTTAATTCTTGGTAAAAAAAAAAAAAACATTTAAAATATATGCGGTGCACTTAATGTGTACTTAAGGAGTTACACCCATAATAATATTAAATTGCTATTATACACATAACTTGACTTGCCCCATAAATATTTTTAGATAAAAATGAAATTTGGGCTCTAGATCCACACTTCTTTTAGTCATTTTATGTCTACAGACACGCAATTGTATCAATGATACAATTCAAAACAATCACAAATTAATAAATTGTATAAGCTAATATAAACTGTTGTACAAACGATTTTAATTGTTTTATCAAAGCTATAATATTAAAAATTTATTTGATAATATTACCTATTTGAAATTTTATTAAAATACGTAAGAACGTTGATTGTATCATTGTATATTATCAATTAAATCAATGGTATGGATAAAATAAACTTTGTACGTAAAACCAATTATTGTAGTAGACATCTATTAAGTGTAAATGGTACTTGGTAATTAGTTTCTTCTATACTTTATCTTCAACTCTTTACAGTTTTTAACATTAGAAATGTTAAATTTAATAATTACTAACAAAAAAAACACTCTAAAAATAAAATAGAAATATTACGCAAAATACGCTAAATTAAATTTACAAAATAAATATGTTTGTCATGAATTTTGTTTTTAACCACTGTACATTATAGAATTTTATGGAATCTATACAAAGAAGAGTTTATATTTAAGTCTAAAAGTACGCGTATTAATAAACTGTGATCTTCACTCTTAAGTTATGAACATAGAGTAATATATACTGTAGGTAGTTTTGAAAAGAATGCTCCATCAACTTTTGTACTGAATTATCCAATTTTTCCCTAGACCTTAGAGAATTTTTTTTAAGTATCTAACGAATAGTATCGATACTTTTTAATCTTTAAAATGTTTTTTTTTATTATGCTAATATTTGTATTACCAATATTACTATTTTATTCCTATGTTGGTAAATGATAATTTTACTATACAACTATACTTAATAAATTACAAATATTTATACATTTTTTAGCTTTACCTCTTTAATTATACCAGCATGTATTTAAATTCGTACTTAAATAATATCATTAAATTTATCCAAATAAAACGAAATAAAACTAAATATTATACGTTAAATAAACTTGGTTTTATTTGTAAATCTTACATTATTATAAACGTATTCGGTAACAATTTAACGGTCAATAATGCAATATTCGTTTGTTTTTAGTTAAAAATATCACAAATAATATTGATAATTAATAAATAGCTTGTCATATAATTATATAAACTTATATATCAAAATAATAACTGGGTTATTATAAAACATTGGAAAATGTTATGAAAATATAAACTTAAATTTGCTGATGTTTTCGTATTAAATAAGTACCTGTTATAACAGTTAGGTATTCAATTAAAATATGACATTGGGTGTTATTGTATTTAATTATACTGAAAAGAACCTAATAGTTATGAATATTAAATAAACTATAGTTTTGTTTGTATGATAAATATGTAACGCTTTTTCACCATCGATGCATTTTGATATTCTAATACATATAGTAGTGTGTGTTCGATTTTTGAGGTATAATAAAACTTTCTACGCTCCTCGAACTTTTCATAACGTATCATATAACAAGGTATTACAAATATTAATTTTTATTATAATTTTGTGTGTTTTCTGAAATATACTATTCATTTCTTAGCATATTATTTAAAGCATATGTTTTTTACATACTTCAAAATTTCACAGTTTTAGAGAATATTCTACAATAAATAATAATAAATCTTATATTTTTGTAAAATTTAGTTTAACCTACAGACTAAGTATATCGTAGTATATTATAAAATATCCTTAGAAAATAAAGGTATTCTGCTGCAGTCTCCGATAGTCCGGTAAGAATTGTTTTTTCGTATCTATGTAATGATTTATGTATCAATTAATTTTCATTTAATACATCCGTAACATTGACCTACTCAATTACAAAAGTACACTCAAAATCTACTATACAGTAGATGGACTTCTTCAATTGTTATCATTAAACATTTACCAATTATTACTGTATTGCACAGTTTTTATAATTATATTGTATGCTTTAATTATTCGCAGATTGTATCAATAAAATTCTGTGCAATGAACAAATTGAGAGATGAAGAATTTATCATTAACTTTGAATTGTTGAGACGATCCAGGTTCTATCACATATTTAAACCGAATGATTCAAAGATTTGCAGGCAGTTATTGCTTTATTACGAAGTATTTGTGAGCTGCATTATTGTTTTCAGTTCTTTAGGCTTTTTTGTCAAAATGGAAGATACTTTGAGTTACAGTGATTATTTTACAATCATATTCGCTATGATTATTATTTTTTTATGTTCTTGGAGGTTTTACATTTTTTTAAGCAATGTTGAAATGATTTATGACGCGTTCAACGTTACACGGTTTAATTTTTTGAAGAGTCAACATTGTAGTAAAAATATAAATATACTTTGCGGCCATAGAGACAGAGTGATTAAAATTACCAATCACTTTTCCGTATTATCGCTAATAGTGGTGTTACAGTGGATACTATTTGCTCTTGTGAGAAGTGCGTTCACAACACCCGAAGACGAAAATGTCCGTCAACAGAATATTTTGAATTTACGTTTTCCTATATCTATTCACACTTACAACCAATATTATTTCATATTTTATTTGACGGAATTAATAATAGCAATATTTGTTGCGTACATAATGATTTTGCCAGACATATTAATAATATCTTGGTGTTGGGGTATAATTGCTCAACAGGAAGTCCTTAGTCAATCGTTCAGAAACATCGGACTCGAAGACAACTCACAAAAAAGTAATATTTTTTCGAAATAGTAAAATGTTTATTGAAAAGACAAGTGTCATAAATAATTGAATTTCAGAAATATATTTTAATACAACATTTAATATTTTAACACGAGTTACTTATTATAATATCGTAATAATTATTTATTACATTGGTCAATGTAGTTTTTTACTATCATTTTTTATCGTATAATTTATTTCGGATTTTATTTTTTTTTAATATACTTATTATAGGTATATTATACGAAACGTATATGGCTATATCTGCCCAACGACATTTTATTACATAACACGGTGTATATTGAGTATAGTGCTTCCACGATAATAATAATACCAATCATATAATTTGCAAATTTATTTTACTTCATTTGTTAACTTTAATTTATGTCCCAGTACATATTCACTATTTAAAGAAAATAACTATAGTTTCAAGATATGAGCGTGTTAGAATTTACACTAACATTATAAATAAATCATTATACACCCATTTGATCATCTCAGAAGCTAAAAGTAACAATGTAAAATCGATTTTATTTAAAGAAAATAATAATTACTTAATACATGAAAGATTTGTATTAAACTGAATTAGTTAAAAATATCAGATACTTTGGCTATTTAATATTTATAAATAATATATAAACACGAAACGTCGACTAATTATAAACTAACACATATAATAATTGCTTATAAATAAAAAAAATTTTTATTTTTTTGATGAAAATATTTAATAATTATAATTACAGTATATTATGAAGAATTTAAATCAATTTTGGCTGATCAAATACGACTTAATCTGTAAGTATTAATACCACGTTTTAATAAACATGAAAAATTATCGATTATTATAATTATTGAATTAAAATTTCACATCATATAATGTATATAATACAAGAGATAAACCCAAATATAAAAAGCCAGAAAAGAGAAATTATTTTGAATATTATGAAAAAACAAAAATGTATTAAATGTTTTAAGAATAATTCGCTATAAGTGCCTATAAAAGTTATTCAAGTCAATAATGAATGACATGAAATTATCAACTTATACTTAGTTTTTGCGATCTTCAAATTGTATGTACAGGACCGTTATCATACCTATTTTGTACCAAAAACGACTAAAATAATTTCATTCAAAATTTAAAATTAAATTAATGTGATCTTATGATTTTATAAATATTACACAAACAAAGATACCTACATGCTTTGTAATGAGTTTATATTACAAAGAAATAAGTGAAAAATGTAACTGTTCAATGTTCTTCATTAACTGCATAATATTACAACTGTATATTACATTCTTATAAGGTACCTTTTTTTCTAACTAAACCAACATCCTTTAAATATCATTATCTCCTGTGTAAATGTTGACACAATAATTTCATACAAATATACGATTTAACTAATAAAATACAAGGCAGCTTTTAATTCATCATGTTTAATCTATGAAACACTAAATACAATAATTATGTTGTTTAAAATAATATATAGTAATTGAACATAAAATTATGTTTAATTGATCGAAAATATTATAAATATAAAATGTTATTGTAATGTTGTTTAAATAAAAAAAATTTATTTTTTTTACAGGAAAATTAAATCATTTTATTCAGTTGTGCGTCCTATTATTTTAACATACGTTGCTATTAAGTCAACATGTTTCATAATTGTAACTTATGTGTTACTTGCGGTAGGCATATATATTTTGCTTTAACTTTTAATTTATATGTTACCGACGATGTAGTAAATTTTATTGAGTCAACTACTTTAAATTATGAATTTATCTACTAAATAAAGTTATATATTGTTGCTAATTTACTATATGCATTCATATAGCTAATATGAGTATTTTTACTACGTATACAGTATAAATACATAAATACAATATAGTAATTAAATACTTTCATACGTATAATGTATTCTATATTCATAATTAATTACTCTTTATTTCTAAAAGTTATTAAAAGATTAATATATACCTAAAGCTCTATTATTTGATATTTCCAATATTATTTTTTATTCATACTAGTCTAACCACTAACAATAATATTTGTTTTATAAATACCATTACCTACACAATATATAATTTCATAACTTTAAGATAAATACATATTTAAATATACAAATGTATAAATTATGTATAGTATTGAGTGAATATTTTCTTATAATTTATAACTTATGAGGTTAAGTTATGGTATTATGTAGATTTATGTAACAAAAATCTCGCAACTATTATTACTTGAGTTTTAGTATCTATTATCTAAAATTCAAATCCATACAAATAATAAAAAAAAATATTGAACTTATAAAATAATATTTGATATTTGTAACTAGATATTTTCATAAAAAAATATTGTTTCAGATTAAAATTTAAAAAAAAATAGCTATTTACATACAATTGTACAAGTAATAGTAATTAACCCTTTGAAATAAGTATATGTAGTTAAACAAATATAATAAAATAAAATATATTAGAAGTTGCATAGATTTCAAATTTATCAATATACAAAAAATGTAATAAATTTTTAAATAACGATCAACGAGTTTATTGTTAAAAGATTCAGTTTGTGTAGATAATACTAAATATAACCGTTAGTTTTTATACGATTGAATTGTTATGTAAAAAGGTTTGCTTGTCAGAGGAATCACATTCTATTCTCGAAATTATCAAGCTTGGATCATCAGCTCTGTATTTATGCGTACACTTATTTTTATATTGTTATTTATTTGACAATATGAATGTTAAAGTAAATCATTAATATTTATTGGCTTTGACTTGGTTTGATAATGGTTACATGTTTACATATTTTGCAGTTACAATCTGTTAACACTAGCATATATTCTTGTGATTGGACAAAAATGGATGTAAAATTTAAAAAGTTATTATTATTAACGATGCAGATGAATAATGCCAATAATTTAATGATAAAAGCTTCGCCGAAAAAAATCGTTAACCTACAATTATTTGCTAACGTATTATATAACTTTTCTACATAATTAATTTTTGCATGAACACAAAAACTAAATAACATTTTGTTTCAGATTGTAACGATGTCTTACAATATTGTTTCCGTCATGCTGAAAATCACAGGTTAAAATAATCAAATTTCGAGATAGATCTAAATGTTCAAGCAATTAATAAATTAAGCAATACTTTAATAATAATAGTATAAATAATACTTAATTTAAAAAAAAAAAACGAATAATAATATTGTAAAAAACTATATATTAATTATTATATTATATTAAATATTCACCAATTAATACGTAAATATTTATAGAAATTTATACAGATCATTATTAAAGAAATGTTTCTAAAACACAAATTGTTATATTTACTATTAACAAACAAAAATTAATATCATTCAATTTTTTTAAAAGTGCAAAATCACCTCACCTTGTTTATATGTTTAAAATATGATTCTAATATGCGATTTAAATTATCTGTAGGTATATATAAAACAGTAAGCTGACTGGTTGATCTATCAACGCATAGCTCGAACCATTAGACGGATTGAGCTGAAATTTGACATATAGATATCTATTATGACGTAGGTTTTCACTAAAAAAGGATTTTTTTAAATTTAATCCCTAAGGGGATTAAAAGTGTTGAAAAGTGTAAAATAGAAAAAATCGCTTAGCCGAAACCGCTGAAGCTATGTTTTCGTTTTATAATATAAGACTAGAAAATTTTCAAATTTTAATTCGTGGTAAAACAAAAAAAAAAAAAACATTTAAAATATGTATGGTGTACTTAATATGTACTAAAGAGTTAACCCATAATAATATGAAATTGCTGTTTTGCACATATGGGTTGTATATTTTTGCATATATTTGAATAAAAATAAGTTTTATGAGTTAAATATTTTTAGATAATTATATATAAGTTGCATACTGTATAAACATCAAACTCAATACTTAATTTATATTTTACTTCGAGTTTGAATAAATATTTCATTGCAACAAATTATTAAGTTATTTTTAAACTTAAATATTCGAATGACAGACTATATAGTCTCTTTTCTGAGTAGCTTAAAATATTATACTAAATTTACAATTTTCCAATAGCACCATTTTTATTATTTATAATTATAAATAAATAAAAATTATTTAAAATAACTTAGAATTTATAAATATTTAAAAACGTTAAATAATGTTTTCAAGTGTTTGGGCACATAAGTAAATTATGCATATTACTATACATTTCGTGCACATTACGAAAATAAAAAGCTCGTTATTTTTTTGAAAAATTAATATAAACGAAAATAAAAACTAATGTTCTTTGTATATTTTGAAAATGTGTGTGCATATTCTACAACGTTTTTTGCATGAAAATCCAGGCCACACTTATGACTCAAGTCTATTTACATAGCTAAATATATACTTATGTAACTATTAGAAAATGAGTTGATAATTATACAAAATTTAAATGTATATATATTATTATTATCATCGAACATGTAATAATATATGAACTTATTCGTTATAATTATAAATTCAATCTCTTAAAATTATATCAAATAAGACATTAGAGGGGAAAATAATATATAAATGTACAAAACATGTTGGTGTATACTTTTTAATGTAATTACTTCATATTAATAATATTATAAATTAATTAAAGTATTAAAGCACTATTTTATAAATAACAATATAATACGCTTCCATAACTTTCAACATTTGTTGAAAGAACCTAAAACTTTTGAGAAACATCCTAAAATATGCAATAGACGATTAAGGCATAGTCTTGAATTTGTCAAGACCCTTTAAATGATTTTAAAAAGTAAATGCTGGTCAATTAAAAATATTACTGAAAATTATTTGAAAGACTGTGGGAACTATTCAACTATTCAGTTTTAACAGAAAATGTATTAAGTTTGATACTAACAAAAGGAGAATGTATAACAAAAAACAATAGACTTTTGATTTTTTTATCGTATGTTTTATACTCGAGACAATAGAGATAATTACTATCTCTATTTTGCTTGAGAAATGTTATACGTAGGTGAAAGAGGTTATTTTTATTATTCGGTTTGGACTTTTAGCAGTTATATACGTTAAAAAAAAAAATAAGGAAAATAACATCAAGCGAACACTCATTATAATGATCTATAAATTAAATAAGAGTCTTCGATTTAATCTCGTAAATAATCTAAAGAATTTAAAAAGAGATAGACTACCGAGAATTTTATGAAAACAAAAAAAAGGCGTTAAAACATATACCGCACTACTGTACAGTAGGTCAGAATGTATCGTGTAGTTTACCGGAATCTCTCACAAATTATCGCCAGTAAAATATAGTAACTGAAATATCGCAAAACAAATATATCGCCAGCACACAAATAACCAGTATGAAATATAGCATATATAATAATTCTATTTTTGTGTGTTAATACTCCTCTTCACAACTAGTTGAGATTCTGTGCTTTAGATTTT